TATATTATTTATACATTAGATATAAAATCATGATAAAACACAAATAATAGCTTGTTTTTCTTCATTACAGTCTTAAAGCACAGCAAATCACATCGTTTTTATCGTTTCTTGTTATTGACTAGCTTTGATGTATTTCCATAAGCTGGCATATGATATTCAAACGTGGCTGTTTACTTTATAAGAACACTACAGAAAACAATTTAGTGACAGCTGAAGCAATATTATTTCAAGATGCTTTCTTGTTATTTTGTGTTTTTATGGAATAGAATAAAACCAGATGCTCATCATAAAATACTTTTCAGCGAAAACATTTGATCAAAAGCTTGTTATTATCAGAATAATAAGTTGTTGTTTAGCATTTTTGTGCAGAGTGATTTGTTAATATTAGGTATTTCACAAAAATGTAAATGTATCTTTATGAAACAAACAACTACGGCGGCTCATAAAACAAAGTTTTTTTTTTAAACAAACTTCAAAGTTGCACAAAATATAAATGAAATTGATTGCTTACAGTGCCTAGAATATTTAATTAATACAATTTGTATATTAACACAAGTACATTTTCAGTGTTTTTCTTCAAAACTTAAAATAATAATAATAATAATAATAATAATTTACATTGTTTGGTGGCATAAAATTCTTGCAGATTTCTTCATTAACATTTTTCCAGCAGTCTTTGTATTCTAGTAATTAAAAGCAAGTATTTTGTCTAGTCTGTTTGGAGTATCGTTCACCAGGCCTTTAGTTAGAACACGTATTTACCTCAAATACTATTTTCTCATCATGACACAGACATCAAAGGTGCGGTTGCACTTTGATCTAACTGTGCTCTGGTGCATGACTACAAAAGATTCACTTCATTAAGATGCATTAATGAGAGATTTCCTTTCTTCTTGGGAGTTTCCTCTTTCAGTGGTCCAACACAAAGGCAGGTTTGGGATATGTGAGATATAAAGTATTCAGAAAGTTGGAGTCCCACGCAAGAAGCAGCAACAAAGGTTGCTTCAAAGAGAAATGTATGGTGTGTGTCCACTGGCACAGAAGAAACCTGCTCAGTATTGTCCAAACCAGTCTGTAAAGTCTGTCAAAGTACACTGTAAAAAATAGTTTTTCAAGTTGTAAATAATGTATATATATATTTATAT